GATTCAACATGTCCAAGTAGAAGGGGGAAAAAAAACTTTGACATAGAAACAGAAACAATTAGTTAGGATTCTTTAAAGGACCACTATAGGCACCCAGACCACTTCAGCTCAATGTAGTGGTCTGGGTGCCAGGTCCCTATAGTTTTAACCCTGCAGTTGAAAACATAGCCGTTCAGAGAAACTGCTATGTTTCACTGAGGGTTAATCCAGCCTCGAGTGGCTGTCTCACTGACAGCCGCGAGAGGCGCTTCCGCGATTCTCACAGTGAGAAGACGCTGGACGTCCATAGGAAAGCATTGAGAAATCCGTTCATATGGGCTGTCTGAATCTGATGTCGCCCGGGGGTGGAGAGTTCCCCAGCACAAAGGGAGCCCAGCACTGGAGAAAGGTAAGTGGTTGAAGGGGTTTTATCCCCTTCAGCCCAGCGCGAGGGGGGCCCTGAGGGTGGGAGTGACCTAATGACCCTATAGTGCCAGGAAAACAAGTTTGTTTTCCTGGCACTATAGTGCTCCTTTACTATTCCTCAGAATGTTTGCTCTCATCTTGTAAAGTTGCAGGGGTTGAATGACAAGTATTTTTCAAGGGCTACTCCATTCTTTTGGAATTTCCTACTCCATGTCATCAGATTCTCCCCTAGCCTCCATTGCTTTAAAGGACCACTATAGGCACCCAGACCACTTCAGCTTAATGAAGTGGTCTGGGTGCCAGGTCCAGCTAGGATTAACCCTTTCTTCTATTCAGAGAAACTACTATGCAGGGGCGTGCCTAGGGCATGTGTTATATTTTTTATGTTTTTAAAAAAAAAATGTATTGAACAAATTTGTAAACTTTTTAAAACCCCTGCCCCCCTCACAAACAGTTACAGGCAGAAAGTCACACACAGTTACAGGCAGACAGTCACACACAGTTACAAGCAGTCACACGCAGACAGTCACACATATTGTCACAGTCAGTCATACACACAGTTACAGGTAGACAGTTACACACAAATAGTCAGTTACAAGCAGTTACACACAGTCACGCACACTGTTACAGGCAGACAGTCACATACAGTCACACACACGGTCACAGGCAGTCATACACACAGTTACAGACAGTTACACACACAGTCAGTTACAGACAGCCACGCACAAAGTTACATGCAGACAGTCACAGGCAGACAGTAACACACAGTTACAGGCAGCATCACACAGTCACAGACATGCAGTTACACATACACACACAGTTACAGGTAGACAGTTATGCACATACACACAGTTACAGGTAGACAGTTATGCACATACACACAGTTACAGGTAGACAGTTACGCGCACACACACACACATTTACAGGCAGACAGTTATACACACACACAAGACAGTCACACACGCGCACACACACACACACACAGTTTCAGGCAGACAGTTACACACACACTCTCTTATACTTACAGACAATGTGGGCTGGAGGAGTGGATTCCCTGGCCTGAAGTCCTTCCCTGGCTGGAGGTGGAGGGATTTCTTCTTGCTGCACCTCCATGTGCAGCAGTTACAACAGCTTGTAAGGGCTGTGTTAAGCCCCGCCCCCTCTCACGATTAGGCTCCGTCCCTAAACGGCAGTAGCTCCGCCCTTTCTTCCTCCAGGGCGGCCAGTTTAGGGTGCTGGTCTCCGTGTAAGCTGTGTGACACCCCAGCTGCCAAGGGGCGCAGCTCACACAGCCCCCTCCAGCCCCAAGACCAGGGTCAAGGTACCCCCCTACGAGGTGGCACCCTGGGCGGACCGCCCCCCTTAGTCCGCCACTGCTGCTATGTTTATAATAGGGTTAATCCAGCCTCTAGTGGCTGTCTCATTGACAGCCACTAGAGGAGCTTCCGCGCTTCTCACTGTGATTTTCAGTGAGAAGACGCCAGTGTCCATAGGAAAGCATTGAGAATGCTTTCCTATGGACTGGCTGATTGCGCGCGTGGCTTCTGCCGCGCATTCAGCCGATGACGGCGATATGGAGGAGTAGGAGGAGAGTTCCCTGCCCGGCACTGGAGAAAGAGTTAAATTTAACCCCATCCACCCCCTAGAGCCCGGCGGGAGGGGGGCCCTGAGGGTGGGGGCACCCTCAGGGCACTATAGTGCCAGGAAAACGAGTGTTTTCCTGGCACTATAGTGGTCCTTTAAGAAGTCACTGAAATAGGCCTTTTTAGGAACGCTTACAGCCTTTCTGGGTGGCACTTCTTATTCCGTCTCCTCCGTAGCCCAGCTAACTCTTTCCTTACTCTGTTAGCTTGTTCCGTTCAACAAGGGCATCTTATCCATGTGCCTTTCCTCCCTAATTATCTTGTGTATTTTTACCACTTCGTCATAGATTGTTTGAGCTGGGCCTTCTCCTCTTGTCCACGTTCATTTTTGTATGTCATTAACTTGTTTCTTTGTTGTCAGATATCCCTTTTCTATAATTATAAACTCTGCAGAATATGTTGATGCTTATGCTATATAATAATAGTTATTAAAAAATCAAGTTTTGGGTTAAATGCTGATATTTATGTTTTTTATACCCCATGAAGAGTAAATTCTATCAACATGCAACACACTCTTACATTACCCATCTGCTTGAAGGAATTGTATCCACAGTCCTTCATTCAGCAAAAGGGACTGTTGGAACTTATTGATATACACATCCTCAATACCAGTATTTTTTGTATAAGTGAGTGCTTACCGTATTTCTTAAATACTTACATTGTGTATTTAAACAGATATTGAGCAGGGCCCTCAACCCCCTCTGTTCCTGTACGTCCAGTGGTCTGATCTCAGTTATGTGTCTGTTAGTCCACCCATTGTACAGCACTACGGAATTTGTTGGCGCTATATAAATAATAATAATGATATACACTGCAGCAATCCACGTCAAATACAAAAGAATTAAAATACTACAATAAAGCAATCAGCCAGTGCCTGCCTTCTAATACTCATATACTCGGTTTGTGTTGCACATGTAATCACTGTGATACTATTGCAGCATGATACCAATAGTTGAAGTAAATTGCGTTATGTTATCCCTAGCAAAACCGCTCAAATTCAGTTTATATCACGCGGCTGCTATGTAATTAGAAGGGTGGAATCATGCATCAGTAGACTGGCTCATGCAGCTAGCCGGATTGTTAGCGACAGAGTGGAAAGCAGCGAATGATGAGTATGCTGCTGTTAAATGATTTTCAGATTAGACAGTCCTGAAATCTAAACTTTTCCAATAACTACAAGGTCACTCCTCGTTTCATATCACAAAAAGGACGTATTCTGCAGTGCCCACACAGCTATTTGTTATGTAACCTTGCCTAACATTCTATTGATGCTCATTCAGCTCCACAAATCTCTGTTCCAAATAAACATGTTCTTGTGCTGTTTATAGAAAACCCCATCCAATCCACTCATCAGGATAAATGTGGCCATGTGTGCGAGGGAACTAAGAGATTGGCTCAGTGTTGAATTATTCAACTAACTCAAAATAATACCTCGAGGATTTATGATAATGTCAGCCCACTCCTCTTCCATCCATGTGAAGTAGTGAGACATCCTGTAATTGGAGTGCTATTGTTTCACATGATTACTGTGCAGTCATTGAACAAACACAGCAGCCATTCAGCTAGAGACCACATTCTTGTTTAGTGAAATCATTTGTGTGTTTATTAATTAACACCAAATTCTAAATCTCAAAGCATCCACAAAGGGTGAAAAGATGGCCCAAAACTAAAAATGCAAGTAATGTCATCCATAACCCTGTGAAGCCCTTGGTTTTAGGGCATAGGTGAGAGCAATGGTTGGTCCAACTCACTGCATTCATTGGATGCAATATCCTTTTCACTATACCCTCAATAACAGCATTAATGCATATCTTAAAGGTGCAGTACCTTCTATACAAAACTTTAATGTAAAGAAACACTTCTGAGTGGAGTTGATCCCTATAATTAAGTGCATGATATAGATATGTAAAAAAAAAATGATTACTTACTGCCCAGGCTTAATGCCACATAGGACTGAGTATGTGTCAACTGAGTATGTGTCATAAACCTGTACCCTGTTGCAGTGATAAAAATACATGAATGAAACTGCTGAGAAGGGTGTATAAACTCGCAATTGGTCAATTTTTGTTTTTCCTGATCTGAGCTACATAAGTTGCCGTGACACAGGTTCATAGTAATCGGTGATTTATTATAAAGGCATTTTGAACTTGTCTGCCCTGTTTAGCACAATCCCTGTGAGCATACACCATATGAATACTGGTAGATGGGCTCACAGGTCCAATGATAATTGCACGTACATGCCTGGTTGCCGTTTCATCTTTTTGGTTATACATGCCACTGTTGGTCATCAACTCGCTTCCTCTGTGGCCACCCTCTTTCTAGTTGTTATGCCTCCCAACGTAAAGGAACTTATTTTATTAATTACCCTAGGCAAAATATGTCCCTTAAAGGGTCACTGTAGTTACTATAACAATTTCATCTTATTGAATTGGTTATAGTTCCTGGAGTCCTCTTGCACTGTTTACCATTCAGTGTTAAATAATTGAGCCGTTTAAAACTTAATAAGGGTCCCTGATCACCCACTGTCTGGCCCCTTTGGTTTAAAACCAGCAATAGTCACTATAATGGGCTAAATGATGCCTCCTGCCACTAACTGCTAATCACCGCTAGACATTGCTGCTCAGGCTAATGTCTCCTTATTAGGCCAGGCAGCACGGGAGGAGCATTAACGCAGAAGGGTAAGATGGCGCCAGGGGAATCTAGACACTATAACCACTTCAATGAGATAAAGCAGTCACCCGTCCCTTTAATTGAAGGTCCTTGTTTTACACAATTTTCTTTGTAGAGCAATCATTTTCCGTATCTTTGCATACACAGAAATACTTTGTATTGTGTATAATGTTGAATATATTAATTCAAGGGTTCTCTTCCTTTATATTTATTGGCTGTTAAACATTTTTCTTTTTTTTTTCTTTTCCTTTAGACGTTTATATCTAGCATAACCAACAAAATATGAAGAAAATGCCTTTGTTCAGTAAGTCTCACAAGAATCCTGCTGAAATAGTGAAAACTCTCAAGGAAAACATGTCATTGCTAGAAAAGCAAGATAAAAAAACAGAGAAGGTAATTTTTTTTTTTTTTTCTGGGGCTTAACCTTAATAACTATATATATATGCAATTTTATGTTTATAACCATCAACCATAATATGTGTAATTACAAATATACAGTGATATACATACATACATACATACATGTGTGTGTGTGTATGTACGCATTGGACACATTAAGATACTGGGGGGGAAAGGGAATGAGACACATGGAGGGACTGGGGGGAATGGGAATGGGACACATGGAGGGACTGGGGGGAATGAGAATGGGGCACATGGAGGACTGGGGAAACAGGGCACATGGAGGACTGGGAATAGAGGACACATGGAGGGACTGGGGTAGGACACATGGAGGGAAAGGATGGGAATGGACACACTGGGAGGAAGGGGATGGGAATGGGACACATGGAGGAAAGGGGATGGAATGGGACACATGGGTGGACTGGGGATGGGAATGGGACACATGGAGGACTTGGGGGGATAGGAATGGGACACATGGAGGGACTGGGGGTGATGGGAATGGGACACATGGAGGGACTGGGGAAATGGGACACATGGAGGGAGGGGTGGATGGGAATGGGACACATGGATGGACTGGGGGAATGGGACACATGGAGGGACTGGGGGGAATGGGAATGGGACATATGGAGGGAATGGGACACATGGAGGGAATGGGAATGGGACACATGGAGGGAATGGGAATGGGACACATGGAGGGAATGGGAATGGGACACATGGAGGGAATGGGAATGGGACACATGGAGGGAATGGGAATGGGACACATGGAGGGACTGGGGGGAATGGGAATGGGACACATGGAGGGACACATGGAGGGACTGAATGGGAATGGGACACATGGAGGGACTGGGGGAATGGGAATTGGACACACAGAGGGAAAGGGAATGGGACACATGGAGGGACTGGGGGGAATGGGAATGGGACATGGAGGGAATGGGACACATGGAGGGAATGGGAATGGGACACATGGAGGGAATGGGAATGGGACACATGGAGGGAATGGGAATGGGACACATGGAGGGACTGGGGGGAATGGGAATGGGACACATGGAGGGACTGGGGGAATGGGAATGGGACACATGGAAGCACTGGGGGGGATCGGAATGGTAAACATGGAAGGACTGGGGGAATGGGAATGGGACACATGGAAGGACTGAGGGCAATGGGGATACATGGAAGGACTAGGGGGAATGGGACACATGGAAGTACTGGGGGAATGGGAATGGAACACATGGAAGGACTGGGGGGAATGGGAATGGGACACATGGAGGGACTGGGGGAATGGGAATTGGACACACAGAGGGAAAGGGAATGGGACACATGGAGGGACTGGGGGGAATGGGAATGGGACATATGGAGGGAATGGGACACATGGAGGGAATGGGAATGGGACACATGGAGGGAATGGGAATGGGACACATGGAGGGAATGGGAATGGGACACATGGAGGGAATGGGAATGGGACACATGGAGGGAATGGGAATGGGACACATGGAGGGACTGGGGGGAATGGGAATGGGACACATGGAGGGACTGGGGGGAATGGGAATGGGACACATGGAGGGACTGGGGGAATGGGAATTGGATGGGACACATGGAGGGACTGGGGGGGATCGGAATGGGAAACATGGAAGGACTGGGGGAATGGGAATGGGACACATGGAAGGACTGAGGGCAATGGGGATACATGGAAGGACTGAGGGCAATGGGGATACATGGAAGGACTGATGGGAATGGGGACACATGGAAGGACTGGGGGGAATGGGAATGGAACACATGGAAGGACTGATGGGAATGGAACACATGGAAGGACTGGGGGGAATGGGACACATGAAGGGACTGGGGGGGAAAGGGAATACAACACATGGAGAGGCTAGGAGGAAAGGGAATGAGACTTGAAGGGGCTGCTGGAAAAGGAACAAGACATGTGGAGAGGCTGGGCGAGAGGGAATGAGACACATGGAGGGACTGTGTGGGAGGAATAAAACACTTGGGGGGATCAGACACATTTGAAGCGGCCCCAGGGCAATTATCCCACCGGGACCTGGGGTGGTTTCTAGTCGTGCGTGCGTTTGTTTTTTTTAAACTTTAAAGAATGAGTTTATTGTAAATCCAGGAGTGCCGGTATTTTTGCAGCAAGGTGTGTGTGTAATATATATATAATGTATGTGCTGTGAAGTGTGTGTACATATCTTTTATTTAAAACCATAAAAATACTTGATAGTAATTAACAGTTTCTTCATCTGAGTCATACTAATGTTCCAAAATCTGTCAGTCCTAGTTTACAATTCTATACATTCCTCCCTTTCACTACACCCACGGGTTTGTTATTGTTCAGTACAATAAGGCTGTCACACATTAATCGAATCACTTGGGGTTTATGCACTAAACATTGAATTGTAGGCAAAGGGTGCTGATTTGGAAGAATGTTCTACCTCAACTTAAGTCAGGTTATAGGTTCTTAGATTATGTTAGCCTAAGTTGTGCAGTTAGGTTTTAAATGCACAATGAAAACCTTAATGGCAGCTTCTAAAAAGTTCTCTTTGCTTCATTCAGTTCTATAAAAACCAGGTTAGGGGTGAGATGCGTATTGTTGTACATTGATGTCACCTAACTGATATATTGTGTTGCTGACTGTACTTTAAAGTGCTCAAAGCATTTATTGGCTATTGAAAATTGATTACACTAGCTTTGATAGATGTGCTAAATGGTATTCTTCCCAGCACTGTGTAGCTAGTCTAAGTTGCTGTAGAGAACATCAAGGGTTTGTGGTTTTCCCTGACCCCAATCTAGAGTGTTACGCAATGGATATACATAGCCAAGGTAATGGGGTTCTTCGGATTTTAAATCCGTCAGCAGATTAATAAATATTCTAACTTCTATGTATATCAGGTTGGCCTTTTTTTTTGTTTGTTTGTTTGCTTTTGTTTACTGTAATGGTCAGTATAAACCATTCATGTATCTCCTATATAGGCCTCTGAAGAAGTTTCAAAATCCCTCCAAGCTACAAAGGAGATTTTATGCGGTACGGGAGACAAGGAACCCCAGACTGAGACGGTTGCCCTCTTGGCCCAGGAATTATATAACAGTGGTCTGTTGGTGACATTGATAGCTAATCTGCATCTCATTGACTTTGAGGTATGTATGATCCCTAGGAGTACATGTATCTCGTGTAGGTAGTGTTGGACAATATGAATCTTGTAAAATATTGCACTCAGCCTGTCACTCAGTTTTCGCATTTGTAAATAAAGAACATGATAGGATTACATAGAAATTTTCTTAGCAGAGCCTAAAGACAGGATAATTAGGAGGAGCTTGACAAAATTACTTGTTTTATAAAGTAATACCAGAGGTTGGGAAGAGATACAAATGGGTAGTTGTGCAAAAGCCTTCCAAACTTTTTGTCGCAACAGTTTGTTTTTTTTATTTGAATTTGTAAGCCTTTTCTGACAAAATATTTTTTTACACATTATTTGTCATGGAATAGGTTTGTTTATAGGCCATAGTTTGTGTTATGTTGTGGTGCATAATAGATAGTGAAATTAAGCATTAGGGGATGTCCAGTCTTTATGGTTATTTTGCAGTATCACTACTTTAACAGTACCAAACTATTCTTAGAAATGTCTTGAGTGTTCATGGTTATCTAGAGAGTTTGCTAAACACGTTGGGTATAAATTATGATTTATAGTGTGGATCAAGTGTTAAATAAAATGGATTATAGTCAGGTATAAGAATGTTAGCAATTTAGTGTATGATATCTTTAGCTATTCAGACGCTATGTATAGAAATGTATCTTCTTTGTAAAGAAGCACCCAAGGGTCACCATGTGGCATTCTGGGAGGAGATGTGTAATCTGCACGTATCCAGCAAGCTAAGGAGTGAAGAACACAATGCCAGAGGATATATGTATAGAGATTGAGTGTACTGGGCCTGACCTAGCTAACAAAGCATCCAACGTTGAAATCTTGATTTACGAGATTAAGAGTTAACAGATGGTGTTTTATTATAGCAATTAACATTGGTTTGGATAGTTGCGCACAGGGCAAGTATAGAATAAAGTTGACAGAAAGCAGCAGTGTCATATAAGATGTAACGTCCCTCTGGGTTTTGTGAGGTGGAGTGGATATTTAGTAACAACCCTACTCTTTCCTCCAATTGCACGTCTGTGAGAGACTGGATGAATTACTACCTCTGTTGGCAGAGTTGGATAAAGGGCCTGTTGAGCCTGGAGTTGAACTTTAATTTCAGCACATAAACGATTTCTTAAACCTTGAAAACATGTCTTTAACCTTTAAATGTTATTATACAAAAGTCAATAGAAAATCTTGTGCAGTAAAGCCAATCTTTTTAATACTATTCTGAAATATGTTCCAGAGAAATAGATCTGATTACCTCAATGCTGCCAATTATGTGTAACGGACTTAAAACACATATGACATAGTATTAACCCTCTCGGGGGCCGCTAACATAAATGACAAACTCACTCTGCCTTTTTGTAAGTGATCACAAAGCTCATGGGGAAAAGTCACTGCCTTTGAACACAGCCCTGGTTGTTTGCTACATCGGTCTTATCTCTATGCCTGTGCAACAGAAATCACTGGAGAGTGTGCTATAATGTGTCTTAAAAAGGGTCTCTGGTATTTATTATTTATATATATATATAATCTTTAACCAGGGATAGCTGGGAAGATTTGTATGCAACAGGGTAATTGCACTATCCCAAACTCTGTTTACTACTAAGCTTTTTAGGCCTTTCTGCTGCCTTTGACACTGTTCATCACAAATTCCTTCTAAAATAGTTTCTATTCCTTCGTTATTTATGATACTGCCCTGGCTTGTGTTATACAATTATCATTTTACTTTTTCATTTCCGTCTGTCTTTGCCCTTCCATTCTCCTCTCTGTACAGCCCCTCTTTCAGCAGCCTTATACCGAGGTTTCCAACACCACTGTTTTGTAAATGGTACTCTCCTCTTCTGCCCTCTTATTCACTAATTGCCTTTATGCCATCTCTTTGTGGATATGCCAATGCTACCTGAAACTTAAGTGAATGAATCAGTGCTTTCTACCTCTAAAATATTGCATGAATCCAGCTGTTGTCCATTTGAAATCATTGCGGATCTCTAGAACTAATATGCTGTGATATATGTATCTGTCTCACAGGGGAAGAAGGATGTGTCCCAGATATTCAACAACATCTTGAGAAGACAGATTGGCACTCGAAGTCCCACTGTGGAGTATATTAGTTCCCATCAACATATCCTCTTTACGCTGCTTAAAGGGTATGTTTAATATAATAATCTGGTGCTATCTCTCTGGGTGTTCGTTTTGGAGTTTGAAAAAAATGGATGGTGGTTGTGGTGCTTTAAAATTTAAAGGGACACTACTGCTCAAATACAAAAAAAAAGTTCACTATATGGTAGATGTATGCCCAATGAAAACATGCATGCATTTAGTTTGGGCTTTTTTTCCCGCTCCATTGTGATTAATCTAAAACAGCTTGTCTGCAGCCTTTGCAAGCCCTCCCATTTTTCCCCAGTTCAGACTTGTGTATTGATTGTGGATGCCCAATCACAGACTTTCCAATGCAGCTCAATGAAACGTCTTTGAAAGGAAGATGTTCTGGGGTAAATTGCTTGCACTTTTAGTGTAGCTCGACTGGGCTCAACTACCAGGAAGTAAAAGAACCGGTGGTCTCATTGACAGCCAGGGAGTGTAACAAAGTTAATTTATAAAAGTGCACATTTTTATTAAAATCAGCATTTTTGGGGGTAAAATTTAAAGGAAATAAAAAGGACAGACTCTTCATGCACAATGCATTTCAGCAAACAGTGGTGCTTCAGGTGTTAAGTGTTCCTTTAACGGTGGAATCGTGGGCAGAGCCGTGCAGCGCCAAGGGAAATTAATCCCTTCACCACGGAGGGCGTCCTTGACAGAGGAGGAAGCTATAGTGCTAGGAAAAGAAGTTTGTTTTCCTGGCACTATAGTTTCCCTTTAATGAAACTCAGAGACATACACTTAACAGGCATAGAAATGTCTTATGGTTGTGATTTGGTATGAAAGCATATCAACTGGTATCTGAGATGGTGTCAGTCTGTCCTAAAGCCTGCTAATTGCAGGGTAGACCAGCTTAACACTGTGTTTGAAGTGTATAAGACTGAGTGAACTGCTTAGGACAGTTATTACGAATTAAATAGATGTTTCAGAATCGATGTAAGTAGGGATTTTTAATTGAAAAGAAGAATTGTTTACACATTTAACAGTTTAATGTCAGCGTATCTGAAATGGATCTAGAAGCCACTCAAAAAAGAGGGGGCCCTCAAAATTTCTAAAACAGTGAATAGCCAAGCAGACCAGCAAAGTTAACTTTATGTTTAACCACACTTTGTTCTATTTTTTAGCTTTGAAATAACCAATTTTAATCTCGTTAGATTTTCTGTAGCTTAGAATTGTTATTTCTTGTTTGTTTCTTTCTTTTTAAACTGTGGTAAACCCAGAACAATAGCACACTCCATGGTATTTGATTCTGATTGGTATTGTTAAAGGAACACTTTAGGAATATAAAGGTGTATGCCTAAAACTAAAGTGTTACTCTGCGTTCCCCCCCCCAGCAAAAAAAGGTTAAAACCCAAGTTGTCGCTCTCCTTATTCCAGAGCTGAGGTCTCTCGGCACTGGCTCCATCCCACGTCTTCTGACTCTGCACCGAGGGGGAACTCAATGCGCATGCACAGCACAGCGCGAGGATGTCCAGCATTGTTTCACGGCTTCAAACTCCATGAAACCGCAGGAATCTCCTCTAGTGGCTGGCAATATAATCATTGCGGTTTTAGATTAAAGATTCAAGGGGAAAGGGACATTGCACCCAGACCACTTCAATGAGATGATGTGGTCTGGGTCCCTATAATGTCCTTTAAACATCGAGTGACTATAGAGAGTATATTTTTACCCTTCATGATATTTTCTCCTATTAACTTGGCAATCACTCAAACCTATAGAAACCTTGAGCCCCCACCCATAAACAGAACATTTTGTTATTAAAGAGTATAGGGTCCCCAGTGAAAAGTGCATTTCTAATTTGCTCAGTCCATCATAGTGTTCCAAAACTGGAAATTAAAAAAAATGTTGTGAATCACAGAAAATAAATAATTTCTATGTGCTTTTCAGTTTGGATGCTTACATTGGCTTTATTGACGTATTGTGGAGGCCTGCTGGTTTGTAAAACCAGGAACTTCACCTACTGCCCCTATCAGGGAATGGAAAACAGAAGTTGAAAGGAAACGTGTAGTTTGTATATGGTTTGGGAATTTTCCGGTCACAAAGGACACCCAGCTATGTTATTCTATTTCTTCAAATAGTTTCCTGTAGCTAATAATTACATGTTATCTGCCGGCATGAAATTTGCATAGTGGTATTTAAAGATCTCTTCTAAATGTGTCTATTTAGAAACATGCCAAACCTGAAGGCAGATGAGAGCCAGTTGGCCGATGCAGTGTGAACATTTTTCAGAACCTAATTATTTGCCTATTGAGTTTAGAATTATTTCGCCAGCCAAGTGGAATTCTTTGAATTAACCTTGTGCACTGGATTGAACATCTTGCCCTATTTTTCACTGAAACTCCTAAATGTTTTAAAAGGGACATTATACTCCCCTAGATGCATCCTGTCATTCAAACTGCCCTAACATGCAATCAGAACATCATTTAGCAGTAACAAACAAGTGAAGATTTAGGTAAAGCTTAATAGTGCCATATGCACTGCTTTCTGGTGCTTAGTCTTACACCCTTCAATGGAACTATTATAGATTAAATTAGTGGTTAAGCATATAATAAACATTTTATCTGTTTCCTTGTCCCTTCTTGTTTCAGTAACTGTTCTTCTATTCTTCATTTCTGATCTATTTCTCTTTAAAATACAATACAAAATATATGAATGTAGCGCTTATTAAAAAAAAAAAAAGAAATAGTAAATCACCTTTTTAAGATGGCTTAAATGAAGGAAATTCGTATATCTCAATTAAATATCTGTAAAAGACAATTTAACATAGTGCAAATCATACAACAAAATTGATGAAAGCAAACTGCTAATATGTAAACTCACAGACGTGGAGCTGTGGGCCCAGCTCCAGGTTAATGCGTCTTTGGATCAGTTTAGGCGATCCACCCCTATTATTGATATCATTTCTTTTTATTCTACAAAACACAACAAGGGGTACCACCAATTACGCAGTATCGTTTAAATATATAAAAAGTGGAAGTATAAAATTTTTGAGAGTCAATACTCACAATGATGGAGTCATAGAGATATGACTCAATTAACCCGCATTGTGCAGATCAAGGACTGCACTCCTTCTTTGATGAGAAGTAAAAACTGGAACCAATTTCTTATAGAAATAAAAGTAACAATTTTATTCACTTATACATACAAAATTAAATGCCTATATCAGCTTAAAAAGACCGGAACGCGTTTCAACAATTTCAATTGGCTTCCTCAGCCGGATAAAAATGATGCATCCGGCTGAGGAAACCAATTGAAATTGGCAAAACACGTTCCGGTCTTTTTAAGCTGATATAGGCATTTAATTTAGGTAGGGATGAGTTTTTCTATTATTTTTTTCATTATTATTTTAATTTTTTTTACATATGCTTCATTTAAAAAAAAAAAAAAAAATCTATTTCATTTCAAAACTTGATGAATGGATTATTATATTTTAAAAAATAGTTTTAACATGACGGTTGTCCTGTCCTTTGCACTCGGCAGCCAGTATAGAGAAAGCATATAGAGAAGAAAAGATTTTAAACAGTGTTTCTGGTTTTCTTCCTCATTTGAAATGTTTGCCTGGACTTTGCTTTTTTTGGACGGGATTATGTCATTTGCTAAAAGTTCAATATAAATTTAAATGAAAATGGAGCATTTCTTGAAATGAAACTGTTAACACGCGTTATAGGTGATTTTTGTTGTTAAGTCAGTGTTGTAAATTCCAGAGACGTGACCGCTCCCCTTTTACCCAAATTAGGGCAAATTTTGTGGTCTACTTTAATCACAGCAGCAACTCAATGTATTAGTTTTGGTGCACAGAATATAATTAGTTTAAGCACTACAGCAGTCTGCAAAAATCGCTGCAGCTATAAGTTTGCCCCTATGAACCTGGAGTTAAAGAGAGATGCAGTTGGGTACTTGGCGTACTGTAATTACATGCACACATACACACTTTGCTCGTCTGTCTTTTAGGAAGTGATTTAAGAGAACATGAGATATTACATGAGCTATTAATATGGTTAGTTACAGTGCGGTTTCCCCTGCTGACAGTTACAGAGCGATGGAAACATCTCCAGCAAAATCAGTGTTAATATGTATCAATTATTCTAATAACTGTGAAGTGGTTTTCCTGTTAATAAGCATGTACTTTTTTTAATCTAGGTATGAATCCCCCCAAGTTGCCCTGCATTGTGGAATCATGCTTCGGGAATGTGTCCGTCACGAGCCACTTGCCAAAACTGTAATTTACTCTGAGCAGTTTGGGGACTTCTTTAAATATGTAGAAATGTCAACATTCGACATAGCTTCCGATGCCTTTGCTACATTTAAGGTAAATTATTTAATGCCTAGCTCAGTGTTTATGCAATTTCAAATAGCACTCATACCAAGTTTATTTTTCTCAATGCGTCAGAGAAAAGCAGGGATCCAAGGGATTGATTGTTTTTTTCCCAAACACAGATGCGGCCATCAGTGGCAAAGTGCTCTCAGCTTCTATGCAGGAAAAGCCTAACAGTGCAATTTAAATGGCAGTGTGCAAAGTAACACTTCATTAAACAGTATTGAACATGCTATTCTCTAGAATAGAGTAAACATTAAACCTCAATAAGCAGCCGCATGTCTGCATCCATCTCTCTCTACTTAAAAAAAACACTCCAAGCACCATAACCACTGCATCCCTATGTAGTGGTTATGGTGCCAGTAGTGCTCTGGCACTGTTGCATGAAAAGTCATTTTAGTATGGTTTTACTGGGTGCCAAACGCTACCCCCACCAGTAAGTTGTCAAACCATTCTAAAATGACATTACATATGGTGGGACAGCACCGAGTAGTGGTTATGGTGCTTGGAGTATTTGCTTAACTGGTAAATCTCCATATACAAATTGGAAATAGAAGGAAAGTATAAGGGGCATATCGTAGCAACTACTTAGTGGAATCCAGGATCTCGTAGAATAATAAAACATCCACATATAAACAAGTTGTTTGTTTTTAAATCTTTTTGAAATTATTATTTTTATTTTTTTAACAACTAATGTGGTCAGTACATTACTGTACCTGCTGATACGCACTGGTAAAATACAGTAGAATGATTTCGTAACGCCTTAGAATCTGACTTTGCGTTGATGAAACCAATTATTACCTATTTAGACTGAGATACAGTAAAAAGACTCCACTATGGCCTGTTTAACAGCTTGGAGACTGTGTATGCAAATGAAGATCATACTGTCAGATGTTTGTGTTTTTATTAGATAACAGTTCATCAAATGTGCCATTATACTCCACCCAGGCTGCAATTTCTATCAAAGAAGCCAAAGTTAAAGTGAATGTTTGTTTTAATGCAAACCACGCAGAGTGCATAACAATATGCACTACATTTACTGGCGGTTTGACAAGCACATTGTAAAAATGTAATAAATGGCTATATCACAGTAGTATTTTTAATAGCAGGTCAGTTAATTCTTTTACAGGGGTTACTCAATACTATGTGAGTTGGTGGTAAATCAAATTAAAGCTATTTTTCAGGAAGTAAGTAGGGAGGCTGTTTGAATCCCAGCAAGGAGAGATGTGGCTAGGCTGTGTAAACAAAGAGATTTAACATCTAAATGGCATACTATTGATCATAGAGATTTCAGGGCAATGATCTAAACACCAAAACTGCTTCATTAAATGAGCACTATATGGTCAGGAACACAAACATGTTTTCCTGACCCTAAAGGGTTAAAACCCATCCTGGCACCCGTTTGCCTCCCTAAATATAGTAAATCTTACTAGTATTTAAGCCTGAAGCTGCTGGCTTTGTCACAGTTTCCTTTTACCCTGCCTGCTGATATCATCAGAAGTGGTAGCCTGATCCAATCACAATGCTTCCCCATAGGATTGGATGAGACTGACAAGGAGGCAGATCAGGGGCAGAGCCAGCATGATTCAATGAAGCTCTATGGGGAAAGTTCAGTGTCTGCATACAGAGGGTGGAGATACTGAATGTTTGGATGCATTTTAGGCAGCCATGACCCAGGAAGGATCTCCAACCGCCATCTAAGGAGAGGCCAGTGTAGTTATCACTGGGCTGTAATGTAAACACTGCGTTTTCTCTGAAAAGACAGTGTTTACAGCAAAAGGCCTGAAGGGAATGATTCTACTCACCAGAACAAATTCAATAAGCTGTAGTTGTTCTGGTGATTATAGTGTCCCTTTAAAGGAACACTATAGCATTACAAATATGTATTCCTAGCACTATAGTGTCCCATTTACTATTTAGTACACACATACACTTTTGGTGCTTAAGAGTGTCCCTTTTAAAAAAAAAAAATCTTTATTAAATTGACCTGCTGCAGGAATGTGTTTGTGTACTGTAATTAAAATAGCATTAAGATATTGAGGTATTTACAGCAGTAAATGTGTGGAATTGTTAGTTCCTGCAGAATGATTGAGCTTGTGCCAGGTACAAAGCCGATTTCAGTGCTGAAAGGACATTTTGCAACATTTTCTGTGGCAGTTATAGCAAACCATGGCACTGCAGATCTTTGAACTATATTAACCATGATGTTCTCTCAGACAACCTGCCCAATGGCTTTCCTAACACAGTAAAAATGCAGTTTATTGTCCCCACATGGTACTAATGACCCCTTCCCTAGATCAGCTAACCCATCCCTCCTAAAACCACAATTTTGCCACAACTCCCTAGAAGAATGGTCCTTTTCTTTCACCAAACTCTACATATGCCTCCAAAGGTCTGATCCACCACAAGCCCACCCCTCTTCAGGAAAAAGTTTAAAACCCACCGACTTCCTTTCAATTTACAATTGCACTTATTTGCGTGAGGACATCCAGCGTAATGCTTTTCTATGGGCGGGTTTAAATGCGCATTTGGCTCCACTCAGGAGCCGACATCGATAGAGGAGAAGAGGTCACCGGCGCTGGATTAAGGTAAGCAAATAAATGGTTAATTAACCATTTATTCACTGCGGAACGGTTTAGGCAACTAGCACTCTATAGCCTTAGGAACACATATTTTGTATTCCTAACGCTATAGTGTTCCTTTAAATTCATTTATAAATATAAATAGTCCTATTATTGCACATATATTAAGAATTTAACAACGTGCTTTCTTTTTAATCCATGTAAAACTGAAACCCCTTTTAATCGTTCTTTACATTTGATTCTCCTTATCCCATTGTTGGTTTCAGGACCTGCTGACAAGACACAAGTTGATGGTAGCAGAATTTCTAGAACAGAACTATGACAGAGTAAGTAAAAATTTTATTCTTCTGTAAATAACCTCCTCCCATTGTAATACTGTAATACCGTAGAATTTTATGCTTTGAACAGGAGGTTCAAAAGTGTCCCTCTATTTGTAACCATTCAGGATATTTACTATCAGTAACTGGCGAACCGAAGTTGAACAATCCTGATCAATATGGACACAGATAGGAGATATGTTTTGTCAGATAGTCAGTGTTTTGTTTTAATAAACCACATGTTTCTTTAATAAAAAGAAACACAACATAGCCTGAGAATAAGATGGGATGTACTTTTTAAAGGAACCCTATAGTGTTAGGAATAGAAGCATGTATTCCTAACACTATAGTGCTGGAGCAGAATCTAACCAGAATTCTCAGAATAGAATAAAAGGGTGTTTTACTTACCTTTTCTACATTTTGCGCTTGTCTCGTCAATCTTGATGATTTCAGCCAATTTGGAAGCTATGGCGCATGCGCTGCAAAATGCCACGCTGCGCCAATTAGCATCTCCTCATAGAGATGCATTGAATTAATGCATCTCTGTGGGGAGTGTTCAGCATCTTTATATAGAATGTGGGGATACTGAATGTAGGTGCTGCACACATTGCAGCTGAGACCCAGGAAGCACCTCTAGTGGCTGTCTGAGTGACTGCACCTAGAGGTGTTACTAGGCAGCAATGTAAACACTACCTTTTCTGTTTTCTCTGAAAAGGCAGTGTTTACATTGCTGAGCATGCAGGGACAGACAATAAACACCAGAACCACTGCATTAAGCTGTAGTGATTTTGGTGACTATAGTGTCCCTTTAAAGATAAATGTTCTTTCTTGTATACTGGAGCAGCTATGCTTCACACTGAAGCCTGTAGGCTGCCTGCTTCACCAACAGCTAGTTAGTTATTTTTACATGTTCTCAATAGTGGAGACCCTAGCTGCATCCATCCCATATAATTATACATTACATTTAGAATTCAGCATAGAACGTTACTGTACAACCGTTACTATGCCCAATGGCCACCGCATAATAGCTGGCCTTGTAAATAAAGTGAGGGGATTCCTCAAAGATTCACCCCACTTTCTTATTGGGCTGGCTGCAGCGTTTAATTTTTTTAAATATCTGCAACTATCACATATGTTTAAAAGAAAAAAATAAAGAAATGCCACTTTAAGGCGATTATTAAATGTGACCAAAATGAGTGATCCGAAAATCGGAATTTCTTGGAATGTTGTGGTGTCTTGTTTAATGCTAGAGTGCATTGTCAAATTATAGAAATATGCCAAATATAGTTACAGAACATTCATGAAAATAGATCAGACCTGGTTGTTGGAATCCACAGATTTCTAAAAATGATTTATTTTGTGGTGTGCTATTTAAATGGGGAGTATTGCGTTATGAATAGAGCTTCAGTTGAAGAAAGCCATAGTGTTTTATTTCTTTGCCCCATTCACTAAGACAGGAAAGCTGGCATTTAGCTGTAATAAAAGAATTCAGTTGTGCCCTCAGTGACAGGCAGTATTGAGGTCTACAGATCGCAATAAGGTACACTGTTCTTAGCTTTTTGCACAACAGATTGACATGTCCAAAGGGTTTATTATTAGTATGCAAACAATATGTTAACCAACATATTATTAGCTAAATGATACTAATAGAGCTGTGATATTTATTGTAACACCCTTGAAATAATGGCATATTTGGAAGTAAGTTTGGACTACTTCAACAGCCTAAATGGATGGATAAATAACAAGAAGTTGAAGAATTCAAAACAATTGGAGTAAGTACATGTTTTTAGTACAGATCACCTTTGACCTTGTATTTTAGCAATTAATATAATCAGTGTGACGGGGGACTTTTTCAGTCTCTACTCACCAGTTTCATTGCAAATACACTAAAAGTTTAAGATGCTGAACTCTGGGATATGATCACTGAAAATGTTACTTGCAACCTGATTTTGATGATCTACTAGCAAAGTTAAGGTCTCAATCCCAGCATATCTTAAAACTCGTAGACTCCTTTTGAGGAACCTCAAAGCTAATCAGGATATTTTAAATCCATCACGTGGTTATGTCCCTCTAACCTTTTTACTGTTCATTAAGTCTCTTCCTTTTTAGAAAATCAATGAACTAATAATGTGACTTTTACCTTCTTAGATATTTGATGACTATGAAAAACTTTTGCACTCTGAAAATTACGTGACAAAGAGACAGTCACTAAAGGTAGACACTTCATTTCACCCAATATGTGCATTTTTCTAAATGTTTTAGTGGAGAAAGATCACATACCGTTTCATATTCGCTTATAATCCAGTGAACAATTTTTAAAATTGTGTGTGTGTGTGTGTGTGTGTGTGTGCGTGCGCGCTTTGATGGAGTATGTGCCGGGTGCTAGTAATCCAGGGAAGAAAAATGTAGATCTCGGGTAGTGGTCAGCATCCATGGACTTAGAGTTAAAAATTCGAAGTTTATTAAATTTCCATTAAAATACGATCAACGTTTCAGTCTCCACTGGGACTTTCATCAGGATCACGTGTGTGTGTGTGTATATATATATATATATATATATATATATATATATATATATATATATATATTCCAAGCATCTCTACCCAGAACATTCATGCAGAGCGTGGCTACGCTGAACGTAGGTACTGCAAACTGGACAGCACTGGACTAGGAAGCATCTCTAGTGGCTGTTACTAGGTGTTCTCTGAAAAGGCTGTGTTTGTATTGAAAACCCAGCAGGGACAGGCAATAGACACTAGAACCACTACATTAAGTTCTAGTGGTTCTGGTGACTAGAGTCCCATTAAGAATTGTAGTTTTGTCATTGAAAATAAAGCTTTGTTAGTTTGAAATAAACCTGGCTCCTAACATTTGGGAAATCTTCTTTTTATCCTACCCGCTGATTTGGGCTGTATTGAAAAGAGACGGTTTGACTACTTTGTATCAGCATATCTTAACAAAGTTTCCAAGTGAAATGCAATATGTAGATTTAGGTGCTACATTTGGTTCGGTGTTGATCATGTGTGGAGCAGATTTATTATTAAGCTGCCCGTTGCATTGTGAATATGAGCATCTATACTTATTTTACCCCATGAATTGTGTACCCTTCAGAGCTCTAACACACCCTCCTTTCTTAGCTGCTAGGTGAATTGATCCTGGATCGACACAACTTTTCCATCATGACAAAGTACATAAGCAAACCAGAAAATCTGAAGCTCATGATGAACCTTCTTCGAGATAAGAGCCCCAACATACAGTTTGAAGCATTCCACGTGTTTAAGGTAAGTTGGAGAGCTCTTGCACTCACAGACGTGCTTTTTTGTGCACAATATTTTGAAGTATGTTTTTATTAGACGTGTGATGAGACATGTGACAAATACCAAAGTAACCCACTATTCACTACAGGTCGTTCATTTAGTGTGTTTCTTATCCTTTCATGGTCTCTTGTTTACTTTCTCTTATACTGTTCGTCCTGTTCATCATGTGTTCTCTTTTAACCCTTTGTGTCTTTTCCTCTACCTCTTGGGATGTCCCTTTCTCTGTTGTGGAATCTTGTTTACCTTTTGTGTCCCAATTATTACCCTTCAATGGACACATCAAGCACTAGAACTAGCACTCCTTGATGGTATGGTTCTGGTGCAAGGTGGCTATAACTATCACATCCTCCTCATCAGTCCAAAATATTAGTACAGGCAAGCAAGATTTGGTTATGCTAAGAGGCACAAGATTAACATGAGTGAAAGGGAACCTGTATCTTTGAAAATAACAATCATGTCTGCTAACGTCTTCTGTCCTCTCGCCCAACTCAATGCTTCTCATAGAGGATGCCATGGGAGCATTTGATTGCAAGATCAAGTTGGACTTTGTCGTGGAGGCGGGAGCAATTCAAGTTACTGTCCGGAAAACAGACCCCGATAGTGTAATTAACCCTTTAATGTAAATCACTGCTGTTTCTACAAAACAGCAATGTTTTACATTGGTTAAAGTGGCAGAAAAAAAACAGAGGTTTTTCAAACTTAATGATGAAGCGGTGTGCCGAAGAGAAGCCATGTCTTTTTTAAATCAACTAGCTGCACACAAAGTGCTACGATTGTGCGTAGAATATTTCTGATGACGCAGATAGTTTACCACTTACACATGTTTATTTGAATGATGCTTTATATACTATTTTTTTTTTTCTATTTCATACTTTATCTAATCCTTTTAGACACTGTACAATAAATTTGTGGTTTGTGTCTCTGTCTACTGCAACATCTGCCGAGTAGAGAAATTAATTATACGCTTTTCTTTGTACTTTTAGGTATTTGTAGCAAATCCAAACAAAACACAGCCAATTGTGGACATCCTGTTAAAAAACCAGACCAAGTTAATTGAGTTCCTGAGCACCTTCCAAAAGGAGAGAACGGATGACGAACAATTCTCAGACGAGAAGAACTACTTGATCAAACAAATACGAGACTTGAAAAAACCCACACCATGAAGATTGCGTTCATTTCTGCCGCTGGTGTCTACCGAAGATCATCTTGTATAAGTGTTTAAAAAAAAAAAAGAATTGTTATGGCATTGTCAGTGCCTGTTTTTTTGTTTCAAATTAGTTTATTAGCTGCCAAGAGAGAAAAGGTTTTATATTAAAACAAAAAAAAATATAAAATAAGATAAAACTCAAATATGACCAGCTCTAGAGGTTATTAATCAGGTCTTTGAGGGTGTGAGATTGTAGCTGGCCATATACAAGCCTGCAAGCCTGGAATATGTTGCTGCCCTGACACTTATTGAAATTAGGGTGCCAGCGTGTGCTAATGATAATGGTGATTTGATTTGTGTCAGTTTGTTAATATTTCCGAAGTCTTCACATTAACGTTTCTCTTTTACAGTTCTAGTAATTTGAAGGTGTCTTTTTAGTGCAAAATGTGAAAGTGATTAGAAATCTGATGTCCGCTCTGGTTCTTCTTTTTAGCCTTTTAAAGACTGCCTGCTATAAACAAATTGTGAAGCAATATCTAACTGCTTTCAGTGCAATAACATCTTATAAGCATTAGTAGCAAAATGGGTTTCTGAAAAATTGAGTGCCCACTGATCCCAATCTACCAGATGGGACAGAAGTTTTCGAATTGCTTAATACATGTTCTGATTGTTTATTTTCTGACGGTACTTTCTTTCTTTTTTTTTTTATTACTTATTTAAACATTCCCTTATTGTTTTAATTTAAACCGTTACTTTTTTTTATTTACACGTCCAATATATTTTATGATTTAAGTTGGAAACCGTTGTTCTTGTAGATACAGAAAACAATGTTTCACATGCAGAGTGCTTTTTATTACCCATTCACGCATATAGCGCCTTCTCAGTCGATGCATCTCCATGCTTCAGAATGTTCAGCACAGTAAAGCACTCCTCACTTAGAAAATCCTTTTGCTCTGAATTCTATTCGTCAGAGGGATTCTGGTCATTGTCCTCAAATTCCATGTTCTAAACCATGGTATTAGAGTATAATGTGAATAGAATTTGAACTTGTCTGTTTTGTTTATTAACAAATCTCATCCCTTGATGTGACATTAGAATGTCCTTCTTGCCTCAAAAGGTATAGCGAGATAAATCCGAATTGGCATGGGTGACCTGGAATATCGTGGCAAGCTTTCTTGGTGTATGTGTGTATATATATATATAGCCACTATATATATATATATATTGTATTACAAATGAAGAAGCACAATTACAAAAAAGTGGAATATTTATATGATTGACTTTAAAAGATTGGGCAAACCAATCAACGCCTAATGGAAACCAAGCTAAGTGAAGATAACTTAAACTTGTTTTAATTGTAACAGGCTTATGCTGACAAGTTTATTATAATTTCATCATTGTTTGTATAAGGAATAAAACCATTAGCTGTGCCACCTTGTCAGCCATTTGTCATACGGAAAAGTGGCCAGTGTCGGATGCCTAGATTAGTGCCTCTGTCCGCTGTCCAGCAGTGTCTGGCCAGTGGTAATGTGTCTGTCTTCATGTCTGATTTCCACAGTCTGCAAAGCACTCGCCCTGGAGGTGGCTGCATGCACATTATTGCAAGTGGTTCCAGAAGTAATCAAGTCTTTCTGGTGTAGAGGGTTAAGGCAAAAGAAGAAACACACAAAAAAGCTAGTTATTGTTGATTTCTATTTTTATACCTTATCAGTGTATAATTACAGCGGCTTTGTAAAGTAACTACTCTTCCCAATTTAAATATATATTGTTTATGCCTATTGTGTGATATAGTTTTATTAACCCTTTTATAAGTGCTTGTCGTTTTTTGTTTTTTTTTTAGCTGTGACTTTTTTCAGACTCTTCAGTAAATGGGAACAAGCAATTATATGTGTGCATGTACCACTTATGACTAGGCTTGGTATCCCAGGTGTTTCTGAACTACATTCCCCATGATGCTCTGCCTTGCCTACATGTTAGAATTTAAAGAGCATACAGTTTCACCTGTGCATTGTGTTACCCAAAGGGTTAGTAAATATAGAAAAAAAAAAATTTTTTTCTTTAATGCGCTTATATAAATCACATCCTAGATTTTCTACCGTAAGTATTTTGGGGGGTATATTTTAAAATCAGGGTAGCTGCTTCCTGCAAAATAAGATTTTTCACTACAATTTAAATTGTGGGGAATTCAAAGTTAATTTCAATATAGGGCACAGTAGCTAAGTTGGAAATGTAAAATTCCAGTTTGCCTACTTTGGCTTACAATTTATAATTCACACTTTGAATTGAATAACCCTTTAAGCATATCTTTTAATCTGTAAAATGAGGATGATTTTGCCAGCATATTGTATAGATGATATATTTTCCTACCTGAGTGTGAACATGACTTATGGATGACCTTAAGACTGACTAAGAACCATGGGAAATGTAGTTTAGCAACATTTAAAGTTCCAGGTTTTACAATAATTGGTATGTACACATACATTGTCTGTGAGTAGTGGGGAATTCAGGCATTGCTTCCAGAAACACGCATGTAGTAGATTTGAAAACCTTGTTAGCAAATGGATTGTCTGATTTGTAAATTCTCTTTCTAAAATCAACTATGTAGCTCCCTTACTGGGTGCCTTATTTCTCTCTGGGAGCAAAGTCTCTGGTATGTTGTCATGAGGAAATAGAAAATGTTAATGCTTTGGTATACAAATATCAGATGTACCTCCCTTTGCACCATTTCTGCCTTTGAAAGAAAAAAAAAAAACTCTTCAAGTTTACTGCTAGATCTGTCTGTAGACCATCAGGAAAATGTGCAATAGGTTTGAATAAAAGTGTACAAGACTATTTATTCATTAAACTAAGAAGACAACTAACTTGTAAAATGTATACTATTAAATGATCATATGTATAATTTTTTTTTATTTATTCTAGCCCAGCTATCTTGGTCTGTATTGTGCTGGTCAGCTCTTAATTTACCATTTATTGAATAAACCCATAGCTTATCATCACTAGATTTCTCCTGCATATTCTGATTATCCTATATGAACAGATCCAAACAGCCATGACTTCTAACATGTTACCCCTTTATTAAATCTAAATTGCAATGGAAGCAACCATTACTGTGTGCTAAAAAAATCTGCCTGGCTACATACATTACATTTACGTACATTGTCCCTGCCCTACCAATAAACTTGTAATCTTTTCAAGCCCAGGAGTATGGACTAGATTAATTATTATTTAGTTGGATGTGCTGTTTTTGCACTTTGTACAGGTGGCACTTTGCACATATTATTATATAGAACTATGTGTAGGCAGAAAGCATTTTTCACCCCATATCATCTTTGCCTTAATACAATTCCAGACTTTACATATCCGTGTCTCCTCGGACCTGTGTTGGCAATGGTATGAGAAGGGTTTTTTTTTTGTTTTGTTTTTAATAAGACTACCACCTATCCCAGCTAGCAGCAGAGCCATAGTTATATATTTCCAGCATTTTAGTTGCAAAGGAAATGTTAGACTATGGCCACTACCGTCACTATCCGTGTTCCCTCTAAGTACTTGTTGGCAAAGAGTCCAGCACTGGAATATTTGAAGAAATATATCTTTATAGCAGTAACATCCTGCAGTTTTCAATAATCACATTTTGGATCTATACCAACTGCAAGGTATTGTTTATTGTGTAGATGCTATTTTTATTTTAAAACTATCTTTGCTGAATTGTCACCAATAAATTGCTTAGTGGGAACACTGTTTTCTGTTGAATTCGAAGTTTGCCCCTTGTTGCTTGATTCAATAAGCATCATTCACTTAAAGGATAACTATAGGGTCAGAAACACAAACTTGTATTCCTGACCCTATAGTGCTAAACCCACCATTTAGGTGGCCTGCCCCCCCTCCACCCTTAGCCCCCTTAAAAGGAATTAAAACTCACCTTATTTACAGCACAGCGCATCTCCACCTCCTTTGTGACATCATCAAAATGGCTGATTTTTATCCAATCCAATGCTTTCCCATGGCGTGGAGACGCTGAACGGCAGGGCTTCTTACTGTGCAGCCCTGAGCCACGAATCCCCACCAGTGGCCATCTAAGGATTGGCCACGTGGAGGTGTCCCAAGGGGCAGTGTATACACTGTCTTTTCTCTCAAAAGGCAGTGTTTGCATGAAAATAGCCTGAAGGGAACTATTATACTCACCAGAACAACTACATTAAGCTGTAGTTGTTCTGGTGACTATAGTGTCCATTTAATTTATTCCTTGTTAAAGGTCCTGAGGTGTGGACACGTGCTATGTGATGCTATAAAAGATGCCAGCTTAATAAAGTCTAAATATTGACTTGCTCTGAACTTTGGGTCGACTAGCACCAATTACATGCCTGCAGCTAGGACTCAAAAAGCAATCTGACTTTGCACAGACCTTTTTATCTTTACAATAGTTCAAGACTCCTACAGAACACATAATTCGTTTCACCCCTTTCTCTGCAAATGTGGGGCAGCCTGTTAGTCTGTCATTGCTGCTTTACTGCAGTGACTGGATCGTCAGTTTGGTATTTACCTCTCCACTTTTTTTTAGATTTTATAGAATAAGCCTTTATAGTCCAGCATTGACAAAACAAATGTGAGATTGTGTTGATGCAGTTATTGTATTGGGGCTTACCTTCTGCTCATTAGGAAAGTGATAAAAACCTAACAAAAATTGTTTGCTTATTTAAACTATTGTGTGTATAAAATATATATAAATATATCATCCGTTTGTACTTACAAAGTTATATTTACAATACATTAAAGGCACGGTTACTGATCAGTTGTTTCTGCATTTATTAATCTGTCCTTTACTGTAATACAGAGGGTTTGCATTCTGTTTCATTTGTCCTTCAGATTTCATTCGATACAGAGATTCTCACTAGGCCCATGGCTATAATACACTGTGTATGGCGGATGAGAATTAGACATTTTAGGCAAATGTAGAGGAACTTGAAGCTGGCTATCAGCTTAGCTATTCCCAGTTAAGTGAATTTTCTGACAAGTGACATTTAAATGATTGGAAACTAAATTTCAAAGTTTGGCATTAAAGGGACACTCCACTAAATAAATAAAAAAAACACTATTTAGTAGATATGAAAAAACATGCATGCATTTAATTATGTATTTTCTCATAGGGTTATAGGTAAGAAAATCTTGCAAAATTAGCAGATCTCTTGTCTGCAGTATTTGCAAGCCCTCCCCTTCTAACGCTGGCCAGACTTTGTGGCTGTCCAATTACATAGATCTTTTCAAGGCAGGTGCTCTGGGCAACTGCAGCCTCTTGAGTTTAGCTCCACTCAAACTAGCAGGAAGTAGGACCATTTGCCTGACTGAGAGAAGGGGGGGAGGGATGTAAGAAGTTTCATTTATAAAAGTGCCAATTTCTATTGAAATCTACACTTTTTGTAAAATTAAAGAAAGAGCACACACTGTTCACACATTAAGCATTTCAGCAACCTAAAGGACCTTATGGGGTCTAGAGTGTCCTTTTAAACCTGTGACTGTAGATAGAACAGCTTGAGAATTTATTATTATTTATTTATTTTTTTTAAATCCAACATTAAAAAGTTTTTCATATAAACCTGTTGTGTGTTTGGTATCGTTACTTGTTAGAACAGTTTGATGCTGTATCAAACTTCTGGCTTACTTATTTTAATATTGTCACCGTTCAGATGAATCACTAGGTGACTCAGCTACCACAATTCTTGCCCTTTTCAGTATCTTAATTTCTCTGGTCACAGCTGTTTCATCTTTCCACCTACACAGATTGCTGCAGTGTGGGTGGATAAATAAAACAGTAATTCCCCAGATTAACAGTTCCTCTTTATAAACAGACACATACTGATACCAATTTTGTTTTATGTTGAGATTCAGGATACTCAAGCAACCTGGACAATTTTCATGCATAAAGTAATAGACAAAATAAATAGATGAGTTTAAACCCAGCACAATAGGAAGGATTGAATAGGAATAACAAGAAAACACACATCAGCATATACACAATAAATCATGGAAATCCTGCGCTCAAAATTAGAGAAATAAAGAAAAGAGGAGAGCTGCGCATTTGCGAGAACAACTTTTCCCTCTGTAGGCCCAAGTACTGTTTTTAGGAGTGGTTCACTTAATTGTATGCAAATATTTTTGGGCATTTATAAAGGCCCCCCCCCCCTATAATTTTGAGTGCACCATGCACAATTTTAATTAGTTTTACACTTTGTATAAATAATGATTTGCTGCTCTTGGGTCTATCCCTGTACTGGGTCCTGAAAACACAAGGTATTTAAAAAAAATATATATTTTTTTTTTTCTTTTTAAATTCTATTGGGCTTGGCAATCCACTAGCCGAATTTACAATATCTTATAATATGCCCTTGTAATATGTTTTGGTTTTTTTTTTTTGCAGTGCAAAGAATAGGTACATGCAGTCTCAAGGTGCCCCAGAGGCAGTCCTCAAGTATTTCCCTCGCGTAACATGCGGGGCTTCAATTATCAGGCACCATTTTATAATATAAGCAGATTTAACATTGTAGCTTCAGCTGAAGAATATATGATTATGCTATAGTCAAGTTTAGTCAGAGCGTGGGTAAGGTTAGTGACAGCATGAGTAACCAAGCACATAAGAACATTAACCTCAGTGAAAACAGTCCACGTTGATACACTTTGACCAGCTGGATAAGCACCGAGTCACTTATGCTGGCATTACAGTAGTGAGCACCACTGTTGTTCGCTGGCTGTAACGTGTTGTCTGACGATCAAAGGAGCGAGTCAGGAGGCTTGTGAGTTTGTGGCGGCGGTTGGTGGTCATGACTGGCTGCGGTATATCAGTCCTGAACTTTGGTTGGTGAGGAGGCCGACATCTTCTTGCTACAGACCCGGTAGCCCGGATGGGCCGGATCTCTCCCGGGTGGGGAGCGGTGCTGGGTTCCGATGGTGTGTCGGCACCTATGGCACTGGACCCTCCATTGATGTGGGCGATGTCTTAGGGTCAAGCCCTTGGTGGCCCTCAGCCAAGGTAGGCCAGTGGCCGGAGCAACTAGGCCTGAGCGGGTCTCCTGCGCTCCCCGGTTCGCAGCTCTCTGCACCTTCGCATGTGGTTGAGGCTGCAGCTGAGCTACCCGGTGCCCCAGAGCTCTCCAGAAGTGCCGAAAGTGCTCATCAATTCGCTGTATGAGTCGCTCTACAGGGCAACAGTCCTGATTGCTCGCTTGTATCGTCTCAAGGATGAGACGCTGCTGCCATTTTGATGCAGGTTGCTGTACTCCAAGTGAGTTGGCAGTTAGGCCTGTAGATTGCTTCTAGGCCCCGGTTTGGACTAAAAGGTAAGTGCCATGGTGGCTCGTCGTGATGGTCCAGTGGGGACTGGGATAACCCCGCTGGTCCATGGGGGGAGGTAGGAGTGTTTCCAGAGGCTTGTGAGCAGGGAGATCGGCCGCCTCTCCTCCACTCTGTCACAGCAGGCCGCAGTGTTGGATCGCCGGTCCCCAGTGTGTATTAAACTTTGCTTAAGCTTCAGGTCGCTTTGCTGGACCCCCCTCAGTATTGTGGTTCTCATCGGTGTGTTTACATCGCTGGTTTACCGGGGTTAAAGTCCTAAATTCAGCCCAATTTGCAGGAGCTCAGGACTAGTGATGTCGTGAACCGTTCGCGAACTTCCCGCGAACGGGTTCGCGGCGAGCTCCGGTCAGCTGACACATCCGGGCTAATCTCCAGCAGACCCTCCCTCCCAGACCCTCCCACCTCCTGAACAGCATCCATGTTGAAGGCAGCTTCAGCATCTGCTGGAGATTGGCCGGGATATGTCAGCTGACCGGAGCTCGCGGTGAGCCGTTCGCGGGAAGTTCACGAACGGTTCACGACATCTCTACTCAGGACACACACGTCCGCCCCCCCCATTGTAATATGTTTTGTTTTCATTTTCTATATTACTAGTTTGATTTTCTGCTTAATCCTTGTTTCTTATTCAATTTTTCTGTCAAAATACTGAACGGGAGAATAAAAAGAAAAAAAAGCACAGACTACTCATGAGGTAAAAATGTATTTTGTTTAAATATATGCTAGATATCTCTTCTATTAGGGTGGATAGTAACCCATTGCTGTAGATTTCAACTCATTAAGATACGCTAAAGCCCAGCCATCATAGTGCTCCCACGTTGTCCCATCTTGGTTTGTAACTTATTCATATATAAGGACAGGTGAACAGTTAATAAATCGGTGCAAATATGCAATTAGTACGGATATATTTTACAAAGATAAATTCTATAGAATTTCTATAAAATTAATAAATTAATTAGTAAAATAAATAAGCATCATTTTCCATTTTAAAATTTGTTTGTCATACATAAATAAAAATCTTGTCGCAATAGATTGTAAAAACAGCATGGCTGCTTTTCTGTGATGCAAGTTCTCCTCTTCCAGTTGTTCCAAATGTCTCAACCTTTCTGGTGTTGATGCTCAAATGACGGTCTTCTCTATCTACAAAATACGTTTTTATATTGGATGTGGTCTTAGCAGTAAAAATGCAAATGTACAATTTGAAGGCAAAAATTCAAACATGGACAACAGACTCAGCCAAGTTGTTTCACTCACTGAAACCAAAAAAATATATATATTTTCAAAAGAAAGTTCAAATCAGTTTCTCATAACTTGTTTAAGATTTTTTTGTGTGTGTGTATTTACAGTATATACTCGAGTATAAGTCTAGTTTTTCAGCACATTTTTTGTGCTTAAAAACCCCCACTCGACTTATACTCGAGTCACTGTCTGTATTATGGCAACTTAGAGAGCCGCGGCCGTCAGAGCCATGGCAACGATCCGCGCGGCAACCAGACCGCGAGACTTACAGTGGAGCTGACCGGAACGGAGGAGAAGGGAGCTGACAGGAGCTGCAGGAAAGGTAAGTAAATGCCTCCTGCCGCCCCCCCCCCCACTTCACAGCCCATGCCACTGGACCACCAGGGATTAAGTTAGCCCCCCTCCCTGACCAGTTAACAAGCAGGGAGGGGGGGACAAAAAATTTTTTTTAAAATAATAATATAAACAAAATAAAAATTAAATAATAAAAATGCCCTCCCCCCACCCAGTTCACACACACTACACAAACACACACTCTGCATTATATACACACTCTGCATTATATACACAGAGTGTGTGTTTGTATGAGTGTGTGTGTGTGTATATAGTGCAGAGTGAGTGTTTGTATGAGTGTGTGTGTATATAATTACAAAAATCACAGAATTTCATAGCCCCAAATTTACCCTCGACTTATCCACGAGGCATAGCATATTTCACAATTGTTGGTCACAAAACTGCACTCGACTTATACATGAGATCGACTTATACACGAGTATATACGGTATACACATTCTCTTAAAGGGTGGAGAAAATGGGTAAAAAACATTTTTTTAAGCAAATGAACAGAAAGTTAATATCGCTGTTCGCATTAGTATTTTAAGGCCTAATTGGCAATTGCTGTAACATAGGGTAAAATAATAAAAATTAAAAAATTATAATAAAGTCCAACAAATAACAAATGTTGCGAATATAAAGGTAACGTGTTGCCTCAAGTGGAAAATGTGTGTAAAGAGAAAATGAACTCCAGAGAATTATCAGTGTGCATATTGCAACTACAACCATTGTACAATCTGTATTGACCTTTTTTTTTTTTTAAACTTGCTTTTCTGAATGCCCCATCAGAAACAATCATATGCACCTTAGGTGATCTTGAATTACCCCAGCTCAGCTTAGATAAAAATTTTAAATATGAATATACTTACTTCCTGCAACTCTGAATTAAATGATTTTACCATCAATGTGCACAGTGTGAATTTTGCTGCCACTGAAAAAATATGAAACCAAAAATTAACATGCTTTTTGGATATACGGATATAAAAGACAATTTTCTAAAGGGACACTGAATGCATCAAAACAACTTTAGATTACTGAAGCAGTTTTTGTGAGTTTGTGCTCAATTCTCTGCCATTTAGGAATTATATAACTTGTTTCTGTCCATGCAGCCCTAGCAACACCTCCCCTGGCTGTGACTCACAGCCTGCATGACATTTTTTTTTTCATTTTCCATCAGTTGTAAATTGCTTTAGAAGTTTTTAAATGCACACAGAAGGCTTCTGTAAGATCTAGAAAACTATTAACAGAGCATGAGAAAATAAATTCTAAATTAAACAGACTGTGCAATAATAGGAAGTTTATACATTAGATCTCTATTTACAGGCAATGTTGAGGAAGGCTGTGCAAGTCACCTGTAGGGAAGTGTGACTAGGGCTGCATACACAAAGTACTTTAACTCCTAAAAGGCAGAGGATTGAGCAGTGAGACTGCAGGGGCATAGTCAATACACCAAAAGAGCTTCATTAACGTAAACTTGTTTTGGTGCATATAGTATCCCTTTAAGATATCGTGTGTATCAATGCTAGTAAACCTTCAGACCAAGATAAGGCTGTAAGGTTGTACATCAGCTGAACAAATAACAGACAAAACCCACAATAATATACAGAGGAGTTTACTTTCTGTCTTTGTTGGTTGTCCTGCTGATCTACCCCTGTCCTTATCTAAGTCTGGGCTTTTACAAGCATTGATATGTGATTTTATTATGTGTTAATAAAACATTTGCTTTGTTTTTGCTTACTCCAAGAATCCCCATTACTTTATATTCATATAGTGTCTGTAGTTTGTCATCTCCTATTAGCGGTCACCTTCTACCTGCTCTCAGGTCTTGTTTATATTTATAGTGCATGCCCCTACATGCTAAAACTGTTCCTGATAAATGCATTATAGTTCTGAGTCTTCAGGTCTAGCTTTGTTTGGTTATTCCACAATCAAAAATATATCTAAACAACTTTCCAATCTCAAAGTCTCTGTCCAAATAATAATTTTAAAAAAAATAATTTAAAAAAAGGATCAGGTTATTATTACTGCATACATTTTATTAATGGGTGAACTATAAAGATATAACCATGCGAATACATTATTCAGCGGGAAGCATTAATCTGATATATACATTTTACACACAGATCCATGTGTTTTGTAGCTAGTATTTTCAAGGGAAAGACAAACCTTACTCTTATTAATTCTATATCATCATACCTTCTGTACGAAAAAGCAACCAGACATTACTTACTGCATATTTACTGACTCCTTTCAGTTCCGCAAATCTCAGATATGATATGTCAGCCTTTTTCTTCCCAATGTCCACATCGCCAGCGTAGACCTGCTTGATGCCGGCTCCCTTAATCAACGGTACGCATTCATCACACGGGCATTTAGTCACAAAAATCATGCTTTTCTCATCAGGTTTAATTTCACGACTTCTACAAAGAACAAAGTATGTTGATGGTCAGATTACAGCAAAGACACAAAATGTAGTAGTAAACACATTGCTCGCTCTCTTTCCATCCTTGGTGGTGCGATGTTCGTCTTTGGTACACACCCCTAATCCAGTATACAACTGCAGTGTTATATGGGGTGTGTGTGTAAAATCACTGTTTCAAAGTCATCAGCCTGGACTCTAAGATGTATCACATTTTTACCCGTTTTTAGCCTGAGAGTGCAATTTTACGCAGACCTTGCACTTTTATTAAGGTATGTATCGCGGTTTGTGAAAAAAATTTAATAATGTCTTGGATGATGTCCTTAGCTAGCATGTCAGCAATAATACCACCATCATGTCATCCATCTACTGGCTGCTTTCTCCAATTTTCCACTTTTTCTGAAATCTGTCCCAGACCTGTTCTCTATCGGCTCCTTCCCAATGAGATACCGTATATACTAGAGTATAAGACGAGTTTTTCGGCACATTTTTTTGTGCTGAAAAACCCCCACTCGTCTTATACTCGAGTCAATGTCTGTATTATGGCAACTTACATTGCCATTAAACAGACCAGGACCGCCAGGCTCATTACAAGCCCGCCAGTCCAGTTGGGGGCTGGCAGCGAGCTGTAACTTACATTTCCTGCAGCTCCTGTCAGCTCCCTTCTCCTGCGCTCCGGTCAGCTCCCACTGTAAGTCTCGCGAGAGCAGCGGGGTCAGAGCGTTGCCACGGATTACTGTGGCAACGCTCCGCGCAGCAATCACACCGCGAGACTTACAGTGGAGCTGACAGGGGAGCTGACTGGAGCGCAGGAGAAGGGAGCTGACAGGAGCTGCAGGAAAGGTAAGTTACAGCTTGATGCCAGCCCCCCTCCTGCACAGTACACACCACTGGACCGCCAGGGAATGATAGCCCCCCTCC